AAGATAATATAAGCTTGGGACTTTTTTTACAATAAGGAACTTTAATCTATAATATCGGCCAACTATTTCCAATACTTGGGATGTATATATGGTATATCCGATCTTCTCCCTTCCTTTTTTTAAAAAAAGTTTGACTTTATCAGACAAACAGTAATCAAATTTGAGAAAAATATATGGGCTTATGTCTTACTGAGACCCTTCTGGTCAAAGCCCGAATGAAAATGTTACTGACCATTTCTCACACTTAAGAAATAAGTGTATTATTTTTAAGTATTAAATTAAATATTATGTGCAATCTGCGAGCCGAAGGCAGTAGCTGATATGGCTCCTACGATAGCTCTTAGTTTAGAACTATTTGCTAGCTTTAGACCAGTGGTCGGCGCGGACCTATCCCGCAGGCATAGGAAATTTCTCTGCCCGAGGTCTGCCACACACACACACAGTATAAATGTGTGAAACATCATGCTCACAGCCTACCTTCTGCTTTTCGTTACTAATACTAATGCTTTAATATCATATTAATGTATTGGGGTCCCGAGCACTGCTTTAGATAAATTAATAATTGGCAACTTATGCTTGAATGAAATTATTACATATATTTAACTTGCCTATAGTTTTCTGTACGTAACTTCTCGTTCTGACGCCTCATGACGCCTCTCGTTTGCATCGAATGCAGTGGTGAAGGGAACAACGCCTATGTCGATTGGCACTCTGAGCCTATTAAATTGATTCCGAACTTAATGTGGCAGTGTGATAGCTGCGTCATTGGAAACTCGCATTCCACAACAGATGAGCTAAATTACAAAGCTATAGATCTAGAATCCCTTTTCCGGAGCCCTAATACTAAATTGGATCGTGCCCATTACCGTTACTCCTTCCTTTCCATAAACTTATATTTATAGCCACGATTGCTCTCTGATCCGCTACAAAAAACAAACTGCTCGGTCGTTAATGGTAACGGTTGACGCTTTTTTTAGTTCCTCCAGTGTTTCCTCTTATAAAAACGAAACGGCGGAAAAAAACTAAAAAGCTTTACATGTTTTCAAATAATTGCTTTTTATGTGAAAGAGCGATGATAGGGTAGAGACCATTGTAGTTCGAACATAAGACCCTAAGAGAGTGTGTTGTACCAAAGATTATAAAGTTCATAGATAGGACATTAGGGCCCAAAACGGTCAACTTTTTGCGTCGAGCTTGTTGGTGAGGGGGGAATGTACATGCACACGATTCTATTTTTAGAACTCTTTAAATGTATCCGTCAACAAAAATGTGAACCTTTGTATGTATGTGTGACTGCTCGCACGACGGAGTAAAAATGTTTTGGCTTCCAAATTTCAACTTCAATTTCTCGTTTCTGTTTTTGATGCGCCGATGTGGTAGTTGGTAGAACAAATAGTTTTTTTAATTGCCGCAGATGGAGAAAGAATGGTAGCGTAATGCATAGAGTAGTTACTCTATGTGTAATTTTTCTGTGTTCAAATCCTCCTAAGGACTTTGAACTTTTTCTTTCTTTTATAATTATTTTTTTTCTTATTTTTCTAAGTAATAGAAGACTTTAATTTTTTAGTCAGTACTAGGGGTCGTTAAATTCATTTTTCTAATAGAAAACCAAGATTATTAACCTGAGTTAATTTAGGAAAATAAGGCAATCCCATACAGAAAATATGTAGCCTGGAAAGGGAAAGAACGATATAAAGACATAGGATTGCATTTTGATCCATTAAGTCTTAAATCATTTTCTAAACCCTATTTTTGAAAATTTTTGAGATCAGATTGAAGCTTGCATTGGGCAGAAGCAGATTTGTATTAAAGACAAAGCTTAACATCATCTGCATACATGAGTAATACAGAGTTCGTCAAAAAAGGGGGCAAGAATTCGGGAATTCGAGGTTTCCAAAGATAAGTTGAAAAGTGTTTGAAGAGGTTTGCACAGAGCCCTGGCAAAGTAATTTTGCACATAGCCTGGTACTCTATCCCGGCCTGGCGAATAAACTGGTTTGACCCCTAGAAGATTTGATTACAAGCTATTTTAAGAGAAAGACGGACAGAAAATAAGTTATTTGAATAATGTTTTTAATAATTCGTCAATGGCCTGATTAGAGGTCGCTGATGAATTTTCAAAGTCATGGTGCGGGATAAGTGATAAAGGAGGTATATATTATAATATAGTAATGTACATTATACATTACTACAAAGTAATATCCGGTTTTGATCAAGTTTCTCTCAAGGCTCTAATATGGGATATCAGAATATAGTTTAGGGAGTTTGCTACTTAGCCCCTTAGTATTCTGATAGGTAAGTGTTAGTGACGATATTAGTTTTTTGGATTAGTGAACGATGAAGAACGGAAGGTTGGTCCGTGGATTTAATATTGGGAAGTATCACTCCCACGGGTTTTACAACTTTTTTCTTTACAGTACTAGGCTGATGTTCCTGGGCGAAAATGTCCTCTGGCAAAAAACTGGGTGAACAAATCGTCTTGAACATCAGCGCGGGCACACAAATCTTGAATGAAGACGTGCGCCGTATATAATTATATTTAAATTTAGCTATGTTCTCTACCTTTATATCGGCTTTTGTTTTGCTTTGATATAAATTGAGATCAGGGGCAATCCGAGAAATAAATATATGTTTCGATTGAGGACTCACAGCATCAGTCGGTACCGGGGGTCCGGACTATGGAATACTATACTCGTTTGGGTGACTTACTATACTATACTACTATACTGGGGTTTCATTCACTTGGACCCTTGGTATCACTTGGAGGGATTCCACGGAGGATATATCGGACAATTGCTCATTTGCGTTAAGAAATTTTGACGGCGAGTTGTTCTTTGTTCAAGACCTTGGGGTGGTCAGAGATATGAGATATGAGAAGATTGTCTTATAACAAGACATCATTGAGCAGACCAGTTTGAATTTCATTTTATTATTTAAATTTGCATTACATTTACATTTTACATTTTATTTATTTATTTATTCAAGGTACATTGGTTTCAAACTTTTTATATATATCTTTTATAAAAAGTTTGAAACCAATAAACCTCGAACCAAAAAGAGTCAAAGCGGGAGGTTTGAAGAGAGCGATTGAAGTGAGCAAGGAAAAATTCAAAAATAGAGAAAAAAGCTCTATTGTACAAGGAAAAAAATAAAAAAAGTGGAAGAAGCAGAGCCGAGTTATGATTAGATTGAAATTAAACAAACTATTAATTCGCCTCCAAATATACCACTGCACACGCAAAGCAATACGGTTTAAGTTACGAAGCAATACGGTTTAAGATTTATCATACAGGGAGTGCACACAAAAACACTACCGTTCACTTTGGAAGGAGGAAGATATTACTAGTCATCCATCCGACTAGCTGCCATGCAGCGACACAAAGGGTTAGCCATTTAAGCTGCTTTTGCGACAGAACCGACAGAACAGAAAATAGCGATTCTTTATTTATTATGAAGAACACCTGGTTGGTGGGTTCCTCCATCTGCTCCAGCTTCACTCCACACTCGTCAATTCACCTAGATTACACCTTTGGAGCATGGTGAGAATCTGGCCCGGCGCCATGATTGTTTTCGGAATTCAGATTCTGGCTGGGTGCTTACAAGGGATGTCCCACGTTCTTACAGACTGGGACTGAGCCTGGTTCCCTGGGCTGAGTCTGGGTCATCGAAACATTTCGGGGGTTAGGTGGCTCCCACCCATCTCCACATGTCTCGAGGTATCTTGCCTTCGTTAGCTACTCAAAAAAATGGCTTTGGGAAATCTCTGTAACGTACCTTTCCGCTGAGTGCCGGGCACTGGCAGGTGGGCTCGCTCGCCATCACACTGCTTTTGCCACCAACTTCCTGCCACACCACTGGTTTTTTAAGGCCTAACAAACAAGGTCATGGTTGTTTTTGAGGAATCGGGACATATGAGGAACATACGGGACCTTGCGCTCTGTGATTCAAAATTGGCCAATTGAGGGGAAAGAAAACGAAGGCATTACACATTTTTTTTTCAAATTTCCTTAATCCGCACCAAAATACAAAGACGAATTAGTTCATTTAAACTCCAAAAGAATTTTTATTCTGCATGCAGAATATGGATTTGCTTGCATCCTTTTTATTGAATGCACAATTTTTTTTAACGCCAAATTATAACTGTTTCAATATGAATAAATTTTATAATTAATAATTATTAATTATATATACAGTACATTAAAACTATTTTAGCGTAACTCCCGTACACTGCAATTAAGGGAATAAAAACCAAGAAAAACGGCTATCGTCAATTTTCCTGACTTTATTAATGCCGGTACTCATCTCTTCCCACCGCAATTTAAAGATTTAAAGTTTAAACTTTAACGGTTTGGATTGTCAGCAAAAATTGTTGTTTCATACTTTTGCGCTTGGCCAAAAAAACAACCAAGGCCCCCTACTTCCTACGTCACTACTTCCGATTCGGTGGGGAAGCAAACTACAAGTGTAAAGTTTTTGATTTGATTTTAAATTGATTTGTTATTTGTAGGTGTAGATTAGCCATTGGAACATTATGGCATTAAAACATTTGTCTACCTCTTCTAGTTATATATTTTAAAGTTTTCGAGATCCACACATTAACAATTTTTGCCTGTTTGCATGGGAAATGGTATACATACATATCTCTTCAAAAAATCGATCAATTTGGATGAAATTCGTTTTTCAGGTATAAATTACCTATAGAAAAGTTTTTCAAAAAACCTCTCTGTACTGGCGCTACAGAAATTAAAAATTTAACGAAGCGGAAGGAACGTAGCAAAAAATTTGAAACAAACTTGAACTAAAGCCTACAGCCTACGAAAGGAAGGACATGGCTTTATCGACTCGTTGTTGATGCTGATCAAGAGTATGTATACATAATGTGGTCGGAGATGATTACTTCTCTATGTTACATACATTAACACGAAAACAATTGTACTACCCTTGTACTCTACAAATACTGGGAATAAAAAGTACCGAAATTGAAAAAAATTAAATAAAAGTTATTGTGAATAACAAACGCCTTTTTATTTTAACTACAATAATTAAGACAAGATTATTATATCGAGGTAGCTCTCCATATTACCAATGGTTTGTCGTCTCATCTGTAAGAGATTTACTGTTACATGTGTAGAACTGCGAATACCACATTCGAAATTGTTTGATTGCTGTATCTTCTTTTGCCAAAATTGGATTCGGAAGCAAATCTTTATGATTCCATATAGTTACGTCGCGTTGAAACTTAAAAAATTAATAAATATCAACAGTTGGTCGGTTTTTTAAATGTTGTCTTTAATTACCATAATACTTTCTCCACATATAAAGATTTTCATGAACGGAGCTAACCAACGGGGTCCATAAAATCTATGAATAACTTTTTGCAATAAAGGTTCAATTGGTGTAATAGTTTGGCATATTCGAAATGTACCAAATATTGACGAATTTATTTCCATGGTAACATATGAAGGACCAATCTTAAAAAAAACGTTCAGTATTTTTAAAAAACTTTGAAGCATCATACCTGCAAGCCTGAGATATCCATTCGAAAGCAGTTAAATCGTCCAAATATTTGTAAGGAATGGCTAAGTTTGATTTCAGCTAAATGCTTAGCATTTTTTGATGGCATCCAACTAAAAAAAGGAAATATTATTTTCATCAGCTCAAATTTATGTAAGTACTAATTTATTTTTTTTTTTGCATAGTATGTATATATTTAAAAAAAAATATTGTATTTAATTTAAATCGATTATAAAACTTGAATGAATATCCTAATTTTCATAGGTTAGCAAGACTAAAAAATTACAAAAATCAATTCTATTGATTGGGCTCTCTCTCTCCATCCAAAGCACAATTATGTATACCAGAAACAGTAAATAATAAAATTTGTAAGGAATTTTATTTTAAAAATGACAAAATTTTCATTTTTCTCTAAGCAAAAAGAAATAATTCAAAAATAATCTTATCTGAGCCAAAAAAAAAAATTAACGATCATTATTTTTGATTTAAAGTTTGTTTCCATGTTAATATTAATGTAAGTGAAAAAATCATCGTACTAAATGGTACCTGTATGCGTGATCTAAGGACATAGTGTATCAGATATCTAGATTTAGATCTAGATATTTTAATAATAGCCTGTAAAATCATAACTATCATAACTTAATATCATAATATGTAATAATAATCATATCTTAAGATTTTTATTTTCTTTTCTATGTCTTTCCGATGGTCAACTTTCCATCGGAAGATACAAATTTTCGTTCGTATGTAACACATCTACAGTGGGCCATATTTTCATTTTTACTTACTTTTACATAACTAAATTTTTTAATAAAAAGAACTACAACTTTTACTAAATATGGTTCCTGTACTTATTAGATTTAATTTTTTAAATTTATTTTGAATTACAAACCTTTTTTTTAACAAACATTTTTTTATAGTTCTACATTCTAATCAAAATCAAACAATCAAACACAAACACAATTTTGAAACTTTAAACAGTATTCTACATACTTTGATGAATATGTTCCATACTTAAGATTAAACAGAACAATAAAAATAAAAAAACAAAGAAATTTAACAAAATAATTTTAAATTTTATGCCAAAAATTTACGCTTCCGCCCAATGTGCACTGGTTCCCGGGCGGTCCTGGCCATAGATGAGTACCACTTATGTATACATAAGTGTAGGGCGATTATGTAGACAGCTTCGCAGACGGGTAAGAGAAATACATGCAAGGTATTCAATCTGTGCCAAGACAGCAAGGAACCAACTAGAACGTCGAGTGGACTGAATCCGAGCAGAAAGAATTGGGCATGTATTGGCATCCGGCCAATACAGATGACTTTAGATTCAGTGCAACGTTCCTAGCAAGAAACACGTCCCTACCAAAAGGAAATAGTCATGTCTTAGCCTTGTAATGTCCACATTTGACGCGATGCTAGAGATTTGGCGGAGAAGACCACCTGTGATCAGTCGTTGCCAGGCAAGCTAACCGCAGCTTTCGATCACTGGCGGCAAGAGATAAACTATGTAAGAGAGCTTCGGCGTCGCCGCTACTACTTTGGTACTGGACGAGTAAGAGCACTTGAGCTGCACGTCTTCGTGGACTCCAGCCAGCCCGCGTTCTTGCGACGGCGTATTGGCTGGCCACCTTCGCAAACGGCAATGGGCAGGCTTGTTTCTTTTGTACCAAAACGAAATGTGCTCCGATGAGGGCGATGTCAATCCGTAGACCGGAACTTAAAGCGACCGTGCTAGGGACACTGGTGATGAACGCTGTGAAACAGGAACACAGTATTGAGATTAACGGATGCGTACTTTGGACGGATTCAAAAACCGTGCTGCACTGGATATGCAGCACACATCGGCGGGGGTATAAGCAGTTTGTTGAAAACCGGGTGGCAGAAATCCTGGATTTGACGGAAGTAGCCCTGGGTGCTGGGATGCGCACTACCAAAAACCAGTCCCCAACGCTACGTCGACCTGAGTCACGATGGTTGTACGGATCGCCGTTCCTACGAGAACCAGAAAAGAATTGGCTGAGGAGTTCCTCGAGTAGTAGTTGCCGCACGGAGGCAACCGACGAGGAAAAGATGCCATGTGAGTTTGCCTTAGTGATTGCAAACGGTTTTTTTTTTATATCTTTACAGAGAATTTCAAACTACAACCAGCTAGTAAGGACCACAGCTTGAGTACTAAGATTCTTCCAACGGCGTCGCGGCCAATATAGTTTAATAATAATGATTGGGGGCTAAAAGTCGTATATAATACGAAATTCAAGCTCTAGGCGAGGTGTCAAATTTGGGAGGGGTGCCGCACGCAATACATCAAATCTTCCGACTCTAGCTCGCCAGCTATTGGGGTGGTGTTCTTGCCACACCCCCAAGGTGCCTTTGCTCATTATCAACATAAAAAAAACTGCGTGCATGGGGCAAGCTTCTCTTGGTAAGAGGCCATCTGGAAAATTGATTTAGGGAAGATAGATAAGAGGGTTCCCTCGCATCGGTCTCTACCGTCGAGCGTCCACGACCTCAGATGTTGCGAGGCTTTGTTTGCCCACCCAACCTGTGGCTATCAAGATCCCGGGGACAGAACCCATGATGTCAATAATAGCCCCTACCTCAACGGTCTCAAGGGGGCCTGTTATGTCGGGTCAAAAAAATAGAGTTACTAAGCACATTATAAAAATGTATTAAAAGATTTACTAAAAGAAATAAACCAAGCCATGAGCAAGACCTTCATATTAAAACATAATTACATGGAAATTACATCAAACATGTAAACGAACATACGCTCGAACATGAGTGAACAAATTTGCCAACAAAATGGTTCGAACGACTTTGACTTGAGGATTTAAATTACTTTAAAATTTCCTTTTTTTAGTTTTATTTAAATTTTAAGTTGGCCATCATATTTAGGAAATATTCCGTGTTTTACCAATTTTTATTCTTTCGGTCTCATTTACTTTTTTGTGACTAAAATTGATATTGTGTAAGGTCAGTACATTCACATTCACCACGGAACTGGTAAATCCATCGTCGAAAGACCTTTCACGGACGTGCGGTGGCTGAAAATTTTGGGACTTAACAATAACAAAAAAAAAACAAGGAAAATTCTCTATTATGTAATGCACTATGGGGCCATGGAAATTCTTATTCTTATTACTTTCTTGTTTTTTTTTTTTCTTTTTAGAAAGTTTAGGTATAGCCCCACTATCACTTCGAACCAAATTTTTTTTTTTTTTTGCTCATTCCATATATCTTTCTAATCGCTTAGAATTTTCTTTGGATAAATAAAGATTAAATTTATATGGATTGAAATTTATATACGATGAAAAAGTTCTCTGGATTATCGCGCTGGGGTCGCCGAATGCCTCCGAAGTACACTGGGTCACTCTCGGGCCACTGTTCTGCCGGAAAACTGTTGGTCTTTTTAATTAATTTTTCTCTGCTTCGCGGCGAGGAAAAATTATGCGCTACCGAGCGCGGTTGGGACAAAACCGCCCGCTCGAGCAAAGGGTTTGACGGTGGGCCTAGCGAGTCAAACTCAAGTTTTGTTTTTCCCCTCAGCTTATCGGTTTTGGTCAATCTATTCTTATTTATTTATTTTTTATTTTTTTTTATAATCCCCAAACTGGTACTTTTCCGACGAACGCTGCTCCTGCTGCTTTGCGCCGTGGGCTTCCGGAGTCCCTCAGATCCGCTCCGACCTCTTGGGTCTGCCTGAATTTCCCTCCGTTCCGGTAATATCTATCCTGTTGCCTAGCCTAATCACGAAAAAGAAAACTTGGCAAGAATTCATAACTGACCCGCCGCACATCCTCACCTCCACGGATTCAACACTGGGCACAAAAACGGTGGGCTTTTCTCTTTGATCTTTTCGCCTCTGGAAAGGTCCTTGTTTGCCGATCTTTAAACTTAAATGCACTAAGGTAAAACAATACACTCAACTGAATGTGAAACCTCAACTGAGGTGCAATGAGATGGCGCACCTTTCCCACCTACCCTTTTTTCTACAGATAGAAGCCCCTCCGCCAAGAATCTGGCTTGGGGTTTGACACCCCATTTTTCACACCCCAGGTTTATTTTAATAATAGCCTGTAAAATCATAACTATCATAACTTAATATCATAATATGTAATAATAATCATATCTTAAGATTTTTATTTTCTTTTCTATGTCTTTCCGATGGTCAACTTTCCATCGGAAGATACAAATTTTCGTTCGTATGTAACACATCTACAGTGGGCCATATTTTCATTTTTACTTACTTTTACATAACTAAATTTTTTAATAAAAAGAACTACAACTTTTACTAAATATGGTTCCTGTACTTATTAGATTTAATTTTTTTAAATTTATTTTGAATTACAAACCTTTTTTTTAACAAACATTTTTTTTATAGTTCTACATTCTAATCAAAATCAAACAATCAAACACAAACACAATTTTGAAACTTTAAACAGTATTCTACATACTTTGATGAATATGTTCCATACTTAAGATTAAACAGAACAATAAAAATAAAAAAACAAAGAAATTTAACAAAATAATTTTAAATTTTATGCCAAAAAATTTACGCTTCCGCCCAATGTGCACTGGTTCCCGGGCGGTCCTGGCCATAGATGAGTACCACTTATGTATACATAAGTGTAGGGCGATTATGTAGACAGCTTCGCAGACGGGTAAGAGAAATACATGCAAGGTATTCAATCTGTGCCAAGACAGCAAGGAACCAACTAGAACGTCGAGTGGACTGAATCCGAGCAGAAAGAATTGGGCATGTATTGGCATCCGGCCAATACAGATGACTTTAGATTCAGTGCAACGTTCCTAGCAAGAAACACGTCCCTACCAAAAGGAAATAGTCATGTCTTAGCCTTGTAATGTCCACGTTTGACGCGATGCTAGAGATTTGGCGGAGAAGACCACCTGTGATCAGTCGTTGCCAGGCAAGCTAACCGCAGCTTTCGATCACTGGCGGCAAGAGATAAACTATGTAAGAGAGCTTTGGCGTCGCCGCTACTACTTTGGTACTGGACGAGTAAGAGCACTTGAGCTGCACGTCTTCGTGGACTCCAGCCAGCCCGCGTTCTTGCGACGGCGTATTGGCTGGCCACCTTCGCAAACG